CACAGTTGAACTCTTCTGTCTGCTTCACCCAGTTGTTCTTCCCTCCCTGCTGGCATTGATTCAGAAGCACATTCCAGTAAACCCTTTCTATGTAAATCTCGGTGATTCTTAAACTCCATTTTTGGGGAGCCTACCTACTTATTATATCTGGTGCAGTTGCTTACCAGGACCAGTTGCCAGCTGAACTCTGTAGCTCATTGGACACGTGCTTTTGAGCACCTTGAATGTGTCCCACTTTGAAAAGAGCCTCTCTATAGGGGATCAAATGAAAGTCCCAACACTGAGCTTCCTCGTACCACATTGGCTGAGCCATATACCCATTAATGGACTGTTTAAGAAGGGGACGGAACCTCAGAAGGGAATTCGCATATCTCACTGACATCTGCTGACTGAACCCCAAAGCTCAGAAGTGTCCTAGGAGGTAGGATGTCCCCTGGCTTCTTCTCTGCAGCCTGTTTCTGCACCTGCCTTCTGCTTCCACCTCAGCTCTTTTCCCCAGATTCCTTAAGGCTGTTACAGTCACCGTCCTACACCTCCTCTCTTTCATTCATATTTTTTTTAGTCTAGCAAAATGAATGTTGAAAACACAATTGAGATATTTCAAGCAAATGTAGAACCTCCCTCGAAATTTGTTGCAGAAACACCACTGAGCAAACAAACTACTGGGAGGCACAACTTAGCAATAACAGCAGCTGCCACAAGTATGGGCTTTCACCCCTCTTCTTCCTGTCTTTCTAATTCCATTTGTAATAAAACCTGCTACTCTAATAGCCTCATAGTTTAACAGACATGACTTTTCTTTTCCATCTCAAGGCCTCGCCAGTTGTCTTGACAGTGAAGTCAGCTGTGTGTCTCAGTTGTCAGAGCTCCAAGTCCTGTGTGTTTCCCTGTCTCCTGGGTCCTGTGGAGATGTTGTCTGCACCTATGTGACTGGAGCTCATGGCCTTGATCGGTTGGGCCTTGAGTCTGGATTGTGGTTTTCCTGCCCTCTGGCTTTGTAACAATGGATAATGCTGATTTCAGTCTTTCTCAGTGACAAAGCGCTTCAGCCGTTGCTCACAATTGTTCTGGTCACTGTGCGATGAGTAGGTTCTTTTCTACACCCACCAGTTCGCAGGCCCCAGCTGGGTCTGACGATTCAACTCTGTTCTGGCAATATCTCCCCAGGGAGCACATCGAATCCCACATGTTGAAAGCTCAGTCCCCTAAGAATGTCTCCATCTCGATCGGCATTGCCAGTCTAGGCTGTTAATCTGTGCTTCTGCCCCTGTGGCTGCACATCAGAGGACCCAACACCTCTTGCTTGGGGTAGACGAAGTAGCTAGAGAAGCTCGTAGGACTTACAAAAAACATTTTTATACTTGATTACTATAAAATAGTATGAAGATTTACTATGAAAGACTGTTATCTCAGAAACAGTCATGAGGGAGAGCTGCTCGGGCAGGGCCAGAAGCTTCTAGGCCTTCTCCAAAGGCCCCTCTTTCTCTTAGTCGCCACATGTTCACCAGCTTGGAAAGTTCTTTTTTTCTTTTTTTTTTAAGATTTATTTATTTATGTATACAGAGCTATGGTACAGGCCAGAGGTGCAGGGGTGGTGAGTGGCTTCACCAGAGACAGAGTGGGGAGCTGAATAGGCAGATCATTGAAGTACATTGCTGAGGGGAGCAGCAGGTGGGTCAGGAGAGGTCTGCTGCGCCATGTGGAGCACCTCCAGGGTGGGGATCGAACTCATGCTGAAGTGGCTTTAGCTTCTTAGTGCTGTGCTTAACGTGCTGCGCCACCAGGGAGGGCCCAGAAAGCTCTTTTTTTATGGAGGCGTCATTACAGAGACATGATTTACACCTAGAACAATGGCCATTGGCAGCTGATTTAATTTCTGAACCTTTCTCCTCCTTGAAGGTAAAAGGATGGGGCAAGTTCAAATCCTCTAATCAGGGGATTAGTGCTTCCTCAGGTTCATTCCCAGAGTCACTTCATTAACATAAAAGGACACCTTCATTGTTCTCTTCACAGAGGAAATTTCTAGTTTTAAGATTTGTGCCAGAAACAGGATTGAAGAATCAATACACGGATTTCTTATTATAAATCTCCATGTAGGTTTACATGCGGTCAGCCAACCACCAGTGTTTTGGGTTGGATCCTTGGATGCTGAACCCTTGGCTTTGAAAACAGACTCTAAGTTTTACTTGGATTTTTGTCTGTGCCCCTAATGCCTGTGCGATTAAAGGGTCAATTGTACCTGTTCCAATAACTGAATGAAATCCTAAGAGGATTTTGTTTTTGTGACAAAAGGTGGGATGTGAAAAAGCATTCTGTGTTTGCCTCACTTCAGCCCTCTCTAGGGCCCATCAGGGAGAGTAGCCAGGTGGCTTCGCTGGGAAAAACAGTGAGCAGTTGTGTACTTACCACATCATCCCTACTTTTACTAGATCTTTGTGTTATTTTAGATTTATATGCTATTTAGTGTCTTTGAGGGCACATAGCAAGAACCCCTTAATAAGTAAGTAGTCCTGACTTACTAAGGATAGTGACTCTCTTACAAGACCAGTGCTCTAACCACTGAGCTACAGAGCCTGATAGTGACTCTCTTGTCACATGAAATCATTTGTCTCCCTCTTCACCAACAATAGCCTTGAAGCTGCCCTTCTTGTCACATGAAATTCATTTGTCTCCCTCTTCACCAACAACAGCCTTGAAGCTGCCCTTCTCCCTTTAATTTGATTTATTTTTTTAAAGATTTAATTATTTATTTATGCATACAAAAACTAGGGTACTGTCAGAGGTAGGGTGAGAGGCTTCATCAGAGACAGAGTGGGAAGCAGAGCAAGCAGATGTACTGAAATACACTGCTGAGGGGAGCAACAGACTGGTTTGGAGAGGTCTGCTGCACCATGTGGGTCACCTATCTGGCCGGGGATCAAACTAATGCTGTGGAGGCTGCAGACAGCTTTCATAGTGCTGTGCTTTAACTCATTGCACTACCAAGGAGGGCCCCTGCCTTTCTCTCTTTTAATCACTGCAATTGGTGTGGAATTTCTCAGTTGACCTCTGACTACTTGTGTGACTTGGCGCTATATCTTCACTTACTTAGCCTGAGAGCCCTGTGAGATAGATGCTGTCCCTGCTTCATCTGCTCAGAGGATAAGTTGGTCTCCAGGGTTTCTAGAGAACATGTGCTCAATCACTGCAAAGCTGGTATCCACCCAGGTCTGTCAGAAGCCAAAGAGCAGGCCTTTCCCTCCTGCCTTGCCTCCATCATATTACTATATGGCGATGTCCTCATTAAGTTTTGACTAGAGATAGGAAATATATTTTTTAGAGAGTTAGTGTCTTTTAAAATATGTTTATCATTTTTAAAGTTCCTCAGAATATTTTTTTAAAAAGACAAAGTTAGGGCCCTCCCTGATGGCATAGCAGGTTAAAGAACAGCAGTAAGAAGCTAAAGACACTTCATCATGAGTCTGATCCCCGCCCGGGAGGTGACCACATGGTGCAGCAGACTCTCCTGACCCGCCCGCTCTCCCCTCAGCAGTGTATTTCATCAGCTGGCCTGTTCTGCTTTCCGCTCTGTCTCTGCTGAATACTCTCACCGCCCCTGCACCTCTGGCCTACACTCCAGTTCTGTATGCATAAATAAATAAAACTTAGATAATAACTTTGTCTTTTTTTTTTAACATTTAAAGAGTAGGAGATTTCACATTAAGCAATACATTCATCTTTTCTTTTAAAAATAAATACATAAATAAAATAGACCTGGCAACAATATGCTCATGTTTTGACAAGACAACAATAGGCCCCAGCTAAGCAAACCCCAGATGCACCCCTTTAGAGGACATGTGGCCTCTTTATTGTGCCACAAGCTGGGTTACTTCTGTGGCCTCTGTGGCTATCTCAGTTTGTGATTCTTGATTGAGACCTTTGAAGAAATGATTTCTGTGCAGCCAAGACTCAGTAGAGGTCAAAGTCATTTTCTGTTTCTGAGTTGAATTTTATTGGCCTCATTTTCCTTCTCAACTCTTTGAAGTAGTGATTTAGTAACAATGGCAGTAGTGACCCGTCATTTTGTTAGTCTTTGTGGGTGAGCTGACTCTGAGAGTCAACAAACACTTGTTTGCTCGTTACAGGTTACAAACTTTTCTAATTTTGTTTGTATTCTAAACCTTGCAGTAACTGGAGGCATCCTGAAAAAGCCAATTTTGCAAAGTGTAGAGAAGGGCGAGGAATCTGAGATAGTAATTTTGAGAAAGGTAGTTATGTTATCCTGTTTCTCTTGGAAGATGTAGATTACCTTACCTACTGCTCCATAATTCAGGAAGACCCTTTTCTAGAAGTAACATTGTATGATAATATTATATACATTTCAGAATGTTTATCGCTAAGAATCAGCATCTCTAGTTACTACTTTACGAACACAAAGTCCAGTTCCATTTTTCACCACACAATTGACCCCTGTGGCCCAGTTTACACACCCTCGTTCCCCATTGTAGTGACCACTGATTTGGTCTTCTGGTCTTAAAAGATTATTTTGTTTCATTTATTTCATTCATTTATTTGTGTACACTAGATGAATGAAATTATATGGTAATGAATACCCCTTTCTTAACAGCTAGTGTTCAACACAGTGAACAGTTCAGGAATTTCCAAGACAAATATCTTAACAATTAGAATTCCTCAGGATGATGAGTCTTCCATTTTCTCTTCTTGTACCTGCCATGTATCCTGCTTGGTAGTGAGAAGTGTGCTCATTTTATCATTTCTCTGAAAGTCATCTTTCCTTTTGTCTGATTAAATACATCTCATAGAAATGCAAAACAGAAACAAAATGGGTTTTGACAAATTTCTTAACTGTAACTGAATTACATTTTAATCATTTTTATTATTAACACACGAGAGCCCCCAAACTAAAGTTGTTCTTTTGTATATCTTAAGTATTTTTCTGTGATTAAGACAGTGCCTGAAATAGTGTTTTGACTTTTCACTATTTGTTTATTGTCTTTTAGGATCCTGCAGGGATCTTTGAATTGGTGGAACTTGTTGGAAATGGAACATATGGGCAAGTTTACAAGGTAAGTTCCCCTGAATTTCAACATGACCTATGTGTGCTTTAATTCATGAATGCCGAGTATCTATTTTGTATCTCATTCTCATGAGACTCATCTGTGCCTAAACACAGATTTAAAGGAGATAATAAACCAATTCATTGACTCTCCATCTTTTAAAATATCTGTATTACCACTGCCTAAGCTGGATGATGTGATTTGAGCATTTCCTTTTATTATATATTATAATGTTTACATATCTGACACATCTCTGATATTACATATTTGAAGCGCTTTAAGTGCTGTTTCTTTTAGTTTCATCACTGCCAAAACTCGTTTTCAAGGAAGCAAAGGATGGCATTTACTTTAGAAATGTAAGCTATTAGAGTATTGCAGCTGAAAAAGTAGATTTGTTATTGGCCTAGGGCGTGAGTGAAATGAATTTAGTGAGTAGTCGTAAGAGAAAACTGATGACATCACAAAGCAAAGGCTTAATGGCAGCGAGGCATTTTACAAGATAGAGAATTATTAAAAGTTTACCTTGAGTTGAGATTGAACTGAATTCCCCAATTTTTGCTTACATTCATGAAAAATATGCTTTAGAAAGTTATTTTCAAAAATGATTGAAAAATGGCTTGAATGTGTGGTTTGAGTCCCCCTCTGGTTATCAAAAGGAAATGGAAATGAACTATTTTTGGACTAAAACTCAGGACCTTTTAGAAAATGGACTATGGAAATGAATGTCTTCAAAGCAAACCAACTGTTTCCTCTTGATTATTTTGAGGGCATAGCCATGGTTTATCTTAGTGATAGTAACATTGGATGACATTCCTATTACAATTTATCTTTCTTGTTCTGTTCATAAAATTTCTTTTCTGAGTCTTAACCTTCCAGATTGTACTATTATATCCAGTTCTTTAGATTGTCAAATATATATGTATGCATTTGATTATCATGTTTTAAAACCACAATGGTAAACATAAACATGTTTAAATGATTATTTACCAAAGGTACCCATTGGTGTCCACTCCAGGGGAAAAAATTCTTCCTTCCAAGAAGTAATTATTTCCTAAAATGTCAACCTCCTCTAATTAGACAGAATGTAGTCTTTTCAAGCTGCTCACTTGATGTTGATCCTGTCTGACACAAGAAAGAAATGTGTCTCAGCAAATGTTTCTAAATACTTTCAATGAAGACAATTATGTTGGAAGATTGTGTTACTGAATTTTGAGAAATTGGATTGAATTTACAGAGTAATGTGAACTTAGTAAAGAATTACCTTCTGATTTAGGTAGAAAATTACTCCTGATTTGCTATCAGTATGGAAGAGCAATTCAGTAACTGTTGGTTTATCAGAAGGGAGGAACAACTTCCCATTTGCAAAAAACATATTTGGGAGATGATTCACAACTTGGTCCACTATCCCAAAAGGTGTAATATATACTCGTGTATAAAAAAAAAAAAAAAAACAATGAAGGCTAAGAATGTTGAAACATCTAGAATTATCCCTTGTTTTCTTATCACCTGACAAAAAGAAAAGGAAACAAATTACATGAGATCTCAGATCTTTTCAGAGAAGAAAGGTATTTAGCAACTACCCTGTTAATATTAGTAGTCCAAAGGGTGCCACTTTCTGACAAACTTTGGCATCTATCAAGCTGAGAAGGGACTTTGCAAAGAATGGTGATGACAAGTGCATTGGTCTTTGGGAGAGGAGAATTTGGTTTCTTTTACCAGCCTTGTATACTGTTTTGTGACCTGCAGCTTTTCAGGGTATTAGTCAACGGAGGATGTAGTTAGAAATGCTTTGGTGACTTATCTAACATATTAAAACTCCCTATCCAGTTAAGGGTTTGGTTTCTAGGCAACCAGATAATATTAGGTGGCACCAGCTCATGAATAGAGAGACCTGGCTTCTTGACCTGAGCCACTAATCTAGTCCTGCTGTTACCATCAATTCTGAAGGCCAAATCTTAATAAAAGAGCAAAACCTGAACTCAAAGATATAGGAACCCCAATAAAGAAAATGAAGTTAGGAAGTGATTGCTCACACTGTAGTTTATAGTTTGCTTCAATGGGATAGGTATGTTTCTGTTATGTAGACATAACAGAAATTTATCACCCTAGGAAACTACTCTATGCAAATGAGTTCTGTGACAAATGCTTTCTTTACATAAACCTTTGATTTAAAATTTTTATCAATCAAGCTTTTGATGTCCCTAGATTTCATAAAGTAAGATGTAGCCTGTATTATATTGAAAGATTCATCCTCCATTTCTTGTCATAAGCTGTCTAAGAGAATGGTAACATAATTTGATATATGAATTGTTAAGAAACATATTTAATACAATAAGCAAAAGTACATGTAGATATTAAGAGACTGTTTTTTTCAGTATGTATGCATGTAAGTCATATACACCTGATGTGGAAATATAGTTTATATGAAAATCACTTAATGCTGTTTAGCTATTCAGTTTTTCTTCCAGTATTATTCCAAGTATAGCTTGATCTGTTTGTCCTTAAAAGACTGCTTTGTTTCTCTTTAATAGTTTGTGTTGTATTTAATGTGAAATCTATTTTCATCAAGGTAACATTGTTCTACCTGGTTGTATAGTATTTAGAGGAATAGTGTTCCCAACCCCCATACCCCCAGGTATTGTTAGCACACCACACTCCCCACCAAAACACCCATTCCCTCTAATATTTTGTTCTCAGGTGGTCAAGAGTAATTCAGTATGTATTTCCTTTTCTACTTAATTTATTGGAAAAAATACCTAAATAAAGAAAAATGATTTTCTGGGCCCATCACTCCTGTTATAAAACAAACCAAAAAAGTTCACATTACCTGTTTGCTGAAGGTTTTGGTTGTTTATTAATATTTTGCCTACTGGGAACCTGCTGGAATTCCTGCATGTTTTTGTTAAAAGCTTAATTATTTTAATAAGTCCAAATAATTGTTTAACGTTTACTGCTCAGGTATCAGTAAGTCTCAGCCTCATATTTTAAATGAATGTTAGTCTATCCTGTTTGTTAATGTGTCATGTTGAAGAATATATTGCTTACTACAGAGATGAAGACCTATTTTATCGCAGTTGACAGTGAGTTGGATATTTGGTAGATTCCTCAGTAAAGCTCAAGTTTATTTTGAATCTACCTGATGCCTGTACAGTGTGAAGCATAGAAGCTATTTATGTGCCCAGTGCTTTGTGAGAGAGGACTGTGAGGATGTGTGTGTGTGTGTGTGTGTGTGTGTTTTAAGGGGTTGCAAGCATCCTCATTTGTTATCTAAAGTCACTCCCCTGCCCTTTGTAGCCCATCCTTTATTCCTTTATCATCTCTATTCACATGGAATTCCTTATCTCCTACTCAGTCTATCTTCCTAACCTTTCCAAACCTGTTCCATATCCTTAAGAGATATTAAAAAAAAAAAAATATTCAGGCCTCTCAGTTGGTGCAAGGGTTTTAAGTCTCATCACTATGAATCTATGAACAGCCTCTGTGGCCCGAATTCTTTCCCTGCCAGGGGGCTGACCTACACTGCACAGCAGACCCCTCCTGTCTCACCTGCTGCTCCCCTCAGCAGTGCATTTCAGTCAGCCCACCTGTTGTGCTCCCCACTCGGTCTCTGGTGAATCCTCTCACCCCTGCACCTCTAGCCTAGACCCCAGTTCTTTTATACATACATATATAAATTAACTCTTTAAAAAAACTCTTAAATTTTCCACAGAACATACTCCTTCAGATATTTGAAGAGGACCTTGCTTCTTCCTTCAAATGCTTTCTTTTATCTCTTATTTTCTAGCCAGTATATCCCTGGTTGCTTCATTAACTCTCCCTATAATACAGACCTGAGATCCTTCTTCATCCTGATTTCTGTCCTGAAATTATTATAACAAATTTTTAAAGTAATATTTTATATTTTAAATAGTTATTTCCTAAGGAATTTTATCTGTGAATAATATCTGATTTCTGATTTAATATATGATTTTACATGAACTTTAAGGTCTCCATAGTTACAGTACACACTGTTTAGAACATTTTCTTCCCACTCCCTGTGCTGCCCTTCTGCTTCGCTTCACATGTTACCTTTCTCCAGTCCTGTGTCTGAGGCACCAGACTCTGTTTCTGTTCCCTTTCCTGCAGGCTTGCTCAATCACAGCAACCCATTTATTGTATTCATGTCGTGAAAAGTCTCTGAAATTATATTATTCTTAACTTATGTGTATATTAAACAATTTAAATATATATAAAAAAAGAAAGATGAGACTAGAGACCTGGTTTATTAGTTTTCATTCTATGTACAATCTAACAATATAGTAAATGTTCTCCATTGGGACCCAAAATTGAAGTCTGATTTCCTTGATAGTTTTTTAAATGTTTATCCCAGTAGCTTTAGAATTTCCTAGAAAAATGTTAGTGTGCTTACTTCCAATGTCTGTTTTGCACAAAAATAATTGACAAAATAGTCTTCCTGTTTTTTTTTTTTTTTTAAAGATTTATTTATTTGTGTATACAGAACTGGGGTACAGGCCAGAGGTTCAGGGGCGGCAAGAGGCTTCACCAGAGACAGAGTGGGGAACAGAACAGGCAGATCAACGAAGTACACTGCTGAGGGGAGCAGCGGGCGGGTCAGGAGAGGTCTGCCATGCCATGTGGTCACCTCCGGGGCAGGCGGGAATCGAACTCATGCGGAAGCGGCTTTAGATTCTCAGTGCTGTGCTATAACCCGCTGCGCCACCAGGGAGGGCCACCTGTTTTTTTTTTTTTTAAAGGTTTATTTATCCATGAATATGATAACTGGGGTACAGGCCAGAGGTATTGGGGTGAGAGGATTCACCAGAGACAGAGTGGGGAACAGAACAGTCAGGTTGACTGAAATACACACCTGAGGGGACCAGTGGGCTAGACAGGAGAGGTCTGCTGCGCCATGTGGGTGAGCTCCCTGGCAGGGAATCAAATTCAGCAGTGATTGCTGATTGCTTCATAGCACTGAGACTTAACTCCTTGCATCACCAGGGAGGCACTTC